CACAAGTGGGTGCCCTTTGGCATCACCCCTTCTAATATTGCATCCCGTTCCATTTGTCTATTAATCATACGAATCAACAATATTTTGTTTGCTTTGCTCAAGTTCTATAGGACGGAATAAATAAATCTAAAGAAAATCAATACAAAGCAAGATATTGAGGGTGTAGAAAACGTTTTCCTACTTTTCTTGGTGCATTGTAGGGATCAGGATTTTCTCCCATTCTCTTTCCATCCCTTTCCATCCTCTGCTATCACATTCTTTATTTTGTCTTTTTCTTTCTATAAAAAATTAATATAAGATATTAACATGGTTTAACCGTGACTGTTCAAATAGGAGGGGAGGGAAGGAGAGGAAAAAAAAGAAGGGAGAGAATCCAACTCCCACTGCAGATGCCTTTACAGTTGCTACAACTAAGGCTCTGACCTATTTAGTCTGGCTTCTCTGATGCAATAATATCTCAAGTTAATCAAGTATTTTATGTGAAAAAAAGTAATACGCTAAGAGACTACAGTGCGTAAATGAATTTGAGGAAGGGCTTGGTGCGGTGATCAAAATTTTGGAATGGTTTTCAGTATTCATGCCCAAATGGTGAATTAGATGGTCCATATGCATATAGATTTTTAGAACAAAAACAACCGAAAAAAGTAGACACAAAAGAAGATTCCTCCCCAAGAATTTGGCAACTTCATCCTCCTCCTGCAGCTCATTGTATTTGCATTTCTCCACAAAACCCACTACTGAGTCTCGGTTTCACTCAAGTGTTTCTTCAGTTGCATTTACAAGTTTCATAGTCTCCGATGTTGTATTTCCGTAAAGCTTGACACATTGGTGAATGCAAGATTAATTAGTTGTAGGTGTGAGTTGAATGTGTTGATATATTGTATGAATAATGAGTGAACTTAATGATACATTTATGCATATAGATGATTTTCGTATCAAACTGAATGTTTAGGAGCAGGTGATTGATCAAGTATATATAGAAGGAATTCATGTTTGTAGAAAGTGTAAGTTGTACAAATAAATTTGTAATATCCCACATCGCTCAGGGGAGTGGATCCTATAAGCCTTATATGTATATACCCATCTTTACCTAGCACGAGGCTTTTTAGGAGTTCACTGGCTTCGGGTTCCATAGGAACTCCGAAATTAAGCGAGTTCGTGCGAGAGCAATCCTAGGATGGGTGATCCACTGAGAATTTCCCATGTGAGTTTCCAGAAATAAAACTGTGAGGGTGTGCTCGGGGCCTAAAGCAGACAATATCGTGCTACGATGGAGTCGAGCCCTGGATGTGGTGGAGCCCGGGTCGGGATGTGACAATTTGGTATCAGAGCCAATCCCTGGCCGGAAGTGTGCCGACGAGGATGTCAGGCTCCTAAGGGGGGGTAGATTGTTAGATCCCACATCACTCAGGGAAAAGGATCCTCTATGCCTTATATGTACATGCCCACCTCAATATAGCACGAGGTATTTTGGGAGCTCATTGGCTTTGGAGTTCATCGGAACTCCGAAGTTAAGCGAGTTTGGACTAGAGCAATCCCAGGATAGGTGACCCACTGGGAAGTTGCTCGTGAGTTCCCAGAAACAAAACCGTGAAGGCGTGGTCGGGGCCCAAAGAGGACAATATCGTGCTACGGCGGAGTCGAGCCCGGGTTGGGATGTGACAATGTTAGATCCCACATCGCCCAGGGGAGAAGATCCTTTATGCCTTATATGTACATGCCCACCTCTATATAGTATGAGGCATTTTGGGAGCTCAGTTCCGTAGGAACTCCGAAGTTAAGCAAGTTCGCGTGAAAGCAATTCCAGGATGAACGACCCACTGGGAAGTTCTCGTGTGAGTTCCTAGAAACAAAACCGTGAGAGCATGGTCGGGGCCCAAAGCAGACAATATCATGCTACGGCGGAGTTGAGCTCGGGATGTGGTGGAGCTTAGGTTGGGATATGATAGTTTGGTATCAGAGCCAATCCCTGGCCAGAAGTGTGCCGACGAGGACGTCGGGCCCTTATGGAGGGTGGATTGTAACATCCCACATCACCCAGGAGAGTGGATCCTGTAAGCCTTATATGTATATTATCATCTCTACCTAGCACGAGGCATTTTGGGAGCTCATTGGCTTTGGGTTCCGTAGGAACTCCGAAGTTAAATGAGTTCATGTGAGAGCAATCCCAGAATGGGTGACCCACTGGGAAGTTCTCGAGTGAGTTCCCAGAAACAAAACCATGAGGGTGTGATCGGGGCAAAGCGGACAATATCGTGCTACGATGGAGTCAAGCCCATGATGTGGTAGAGCCCGGGTCGGGATGTGACATACATGCCCACCTCCATATAGCACGAGGCATTTTGGGAGCTCATTGGCTTCAGAGTTCATCGGAACTCCGAAGTTAAGCGAGTTTGGGCTAGAGCAATCCCAGGATGGGTGACCCACTACGAATTTGCTCGTGAGTTCCCAGAAACAAAACGGTGAGGGCGTGGTCGGGGCCCAAAGTGGACAATATTGTGCTACGGCTGAGTCGAGCTCGGGTTAGGATGTGACAATTTGGTATTAAAGCCAATCCCTGGCCGGAAGTGTGCCGACGAGGACGTCGGGCCCCTAAGGAAGGTGGATTGTTAGATCCCACATCACCCAGGGGAGAGGATCTTGTATGCCTTATATGTACATTCCCACCTCCATATAGTACGAGGCTTTTTGGGAGCTCACTGGCTTCGGGTTCCATAGGAACTCCGAAGTTAAGCGAGTTCGCGCGAAAGCAATCCCAGGATGGGTGACCCATTGCGAAGTTCTTGTGTGAGTTCCTAGAAACAAAATTGTGAGGGCGTGGTTGGGGCCCAAAGCGGACAATATTGTGCTACGCCGGAGTCGAGTTCGGGTTAGGATGTGATAATTCGGTATTAAAGCCAATCCCTGGCCGGAAGTGTGCCGACGAGGACGTCGGACCCCTAAGGGGGGTGGATTGTTAGATCCCACATTGCCCAGAAACAAAACGGTGAGGGCGTGGTCGGGGCCCAAAGTGGACAATATCGTGCTACGGCTGAGTCGAGCTCGGGTTAAGATGTGACAATTTGGTATTAAAGCCAATCCCTGACCAGAAGTGTGCCGACGAGGACGTCGGGCCCCTAAGGGGGGTGGATTGTTAGATCCCACATCGCCCAGGGGAGAAGATCTTATATGCCTTATATGTACATCCCCATCTCCATATAGTACTAGGCCTTTTGGGAGCTCACTGGCTTCGGGTTCCGTAGGAACTCCGAGGTTAAGCGAGTTCGCGCGAGAGCAATCCCAGGATGGGTGACCCACTGCGAAGTTCTCGTGTGAGTTCCTAGAAACAAAATCGTGAAGGTGTGGTCTGGGCCCAAAGCAGACAATATCGTGTTACGCCAGAGTTGAGCCCGGGATGTGGTGGAGCCTGGGTCGGGATGTGATAAAATCAATTTGGAATATCAAAGAGTTTGTTCAACTAAGTTGTTGGGTGGGAGTTCTATGCAGCCCTTGGGATGTTATATCCAGAAATTTGTTAGTAGGCTGCTTCTACCCTATTTTTTCTAGTGTTTCCCTTTGCTTTCACATGAATATACAAATTTTCTTTCACATGAATATTCAAAACTAGCAAACTTAGGTTGGCAGCTGTTCTCGCTTATGGTCTGTTTGATGCAGTTACATATACCGCCTTTTTCGTCCTTGCATTTCTCGGGTTCGAGAAAAGTACATGGAACAATCCAGCAGCTAGTATGAAGGCACTTTTAGGGATTACTTGTTACACCAAAAAAGGTTAACTGCAAAAATACATTTGAAGGGTTTCGTTTGGCTACTAAGAAAGTTGGGAAGAGGTCAATTGTCATAGGTTGAGATTACATATACAAGGGTGTGAGGTTTACGTAATGGGTTTACATAATGAGTTGTTGATGACTACATACATATTGAGAATTTAGCTTATGTCTTTGTGTCCGATGCGAAGAGTGGGTTTTTTTTATTTTTTTTATTTTTTTGGAAGTAACGAGAGAAGGAAATCGATCAAATTTCAATTTTTTACAGTATGCTTGTTCTTATAAGAAGGAAATCCATCAGTTTTTATCTTCCAACTCTCTATTTTTCAATTGTATTTTGGTGTCATTCCATTTTAATCTTAGTCCATTCAAATGAAGACATTTGAAGAACCTAACATAAAACATCCGTACAAGCAAAACGTAGCTTAGCAACTCCAATAAAATCATCTATGAGAGTTGATCAAATCCAGGTAGGCCACATGGGGGGTTACTGAAGATAAAGCTGCTGAGATCCATATTAAAGCTCCAATTTGGCAACTGATGAACAACACATTTCCGCTCCCTGAAAACATGCCTTATGCTTCAGCACAGCTCACATCTAACCAATTGACTCATCAATGTTTTGCATCTGCTCACAGTTGTATCAAGAGGATAATAGCTATCAACCAAATTTTGTTAGAACAAAGTGATAGCAAACACATCTGTCAATAAAATCTCCTTGTCCCAAATTGGCAGAGAACTCCACCCGCACCAATCTTGAACCATCAACATAAAGCATTTACCAACGAATATCAGGAGGTTCCCAAGCAATGGGAGCAGCCTTCTATTAGGTTTATGGGGGAGAACCAACTCAAGCTTTCGCCCAGTTCTCGACTTTTTGCGTGTTTACTAACAAGCATGGAATTTGAAGGGTTAGTTGATTCGTAACTCAATACCTAAAATTAGGAATCAAATCAAAATGTTTATTTTTTATTGGTAAAACATTTGCAAATTTGGTTCAAAAATTTGATTACCTGATATTATCCTAATACAAATATCTTTTGACAAATAAAAAATATACACAAAGATAATTTTCGGTGGTAATATTTAGACACTCTTTTTACTTTTCACACACATCTACTCTTTCCCGTAGGTTGATCAATTGAAACAGCCAAATAACATAAATTAATAAGTGATGTGTGAGAAGTAGAAATAAATGTGCGAAGACGCCACAAAACTAAACATACACCCAAAAATACCCCAGCACACAGAGTCAGTCAGTACATTTTAGTTGCAAATGAAAAATACGAACACTGGGATTTGCTCTCTCTATCGCTGAGAGATTCTCTGTGATCGATGGCAATGGCGGACAATGGGCGAGTCGTCTGCAAATGCACAACATCGAGCAAGAGCATCTTCTGCTTCAGATAATTCAGTTTCGACGACAAGCCCAACCACCGAAACCTCCTCCGAAACGTTTCGACCCTTCCCGTCTTTAAAAAAGGCCTCTTCACTCGTTGCAGCCCATCCCTTGCCGGAAACAGTATTCTCAGGTTTATCTCACATAATTACGGGTTTTTTCCGTTTTCTTTTGAGTTGCACTGTCTGTTTGGTTCCCGAGAAAATGCAGGAAAATTTATATAGTTTTTGAGCTTATGTAGGGTTTACTGAAGTGAATACTTAACTAGGTTCAATTGGGTTGTTGATAAATTCAAACAATGAAATTTAGACGCGAATGCTTTTAATTGATTTGAAGAGAAGTTTCTGAGCTAGTTTATTGCTTCGAATGTTCAAATTGGATCATATAAATGTGTCTATGTGATAATTAGATGATTTGTTGCTTGCAGTATGGATGCACAGGAGAATTCGAGGTCCTCGATATTGCCATCATCCCTAGATAAGAGAATTCCCATATATGGGATGATGCCTGTTGATGCCTTCTGCATTGATGGTACGGGGCGTCCAAGGATTAGGAAGTAAGTTTTTTATGACTTTCTGTTGATAAGGCTATGATGCATTTTCATTCTTCATTTAATTGTTATACTCTTTTAAACGACGGCAAGGCCTTAACTGTAGCACTGAAAACACTCAAGTTGGCAGGTGTCCACAGAATTGCAGTTAAGGTTTGGTGGGGAATCGTAGAGCGTTGTTTTCCTCTTGCATATGATTGGTCTCTATATGAAAGGCTTTTCAAATTGATTTCTGACTCAGGTTTGAAGTTGCATGTTGCCTTGTCTTTTCACTCAAACGTTAACCCTTCTTCTAGCAGAAAAGGGTGTGTAACTCTTCCGCTTTGGATCATAGAGGTATGTTTTCTCTGCAATTTTGAAATCCCATTTGACTGTTTGGCCTTTTATTGGTAAAGTGCATGTGGGTGTATTGGAATGCTTAATTTACCCGATCATACTCTGTTGTGACAACATAAGAAACATAACCCATTAACATACGTGATTTTAGCTTTGATGTGCATAAAAAGTTTATCTTTGCAAAGGGATGTGACAGAAAAATGATAGTTTGGCCTTCATTACATGCCCATCAGTTTGAATCCTGAATTTAGATAAAGAAGTTGACCTCTTCTGTTTTTTATCTCCCAGATTGGTCATCAGAATAAGCATATATTTTATCAGGACCCAAATGGATTTTCCAATGATGATTATCTTACACTCGGAGTTGACCATGTTCCTCTCTTTTGCGGCTGGACTGCCCTCCAATGTTATGAGGATTTCTTGTCAAGTTTTGCTAAGAAATTTGAATCCTTAATTGCCTTAATTGGAACTATGATAGAAGAAATTAGTGTTGGTCTTGGTCCTTCTGGTGGACTTAAGTATGTTACTGTTACACTAGAACCACAAGTATGAAGCCAGTCCAATGATTTCTTATGCAATATTGGGGAGAGAAGGGGCCACAAAATGCTGGCTGTTGCAACAATCTCCCATCTGAAGTTCCTTTCTTTGAAGAGGGAGAGGAAAGCATTCTTTCTGATTATGGGTGTTTTTTCCTTGTATGAAACTGATGGAAGCAGCTTGCTTTATTGTTTCCCATGAAAAATTTCTGCATAACTGAAGCCTAGTGTAAATTGCACGAAATCATTGTTTGTATTTCATCCTCGAACTACTACATTGTTTCTTTAGCCAGGAAACACTTCTGTGTAGGTGCCTGTAAACAATATGGGCCTGCAATATATATTTTCAATCTTTAGTGGAACTTTTCTTATAACTAACTCTATTTGCTTCTAGGGGTTATACTTGCAGACTGTTTGCTACAGGAGTCTTAAATACTCTTATGCAACATGATTAAAAGTAGATATGTTTTAATGATTTAATATGAAGTCATGACAATGGAATGGGTTCTTAAGAAACTGCACTAAGTTAGTGCAAGTTGATTAAGAATGAAATGCATTGATGCTTGTCTTCTGGAAAGAAAAAAAAAATCATCATAGGATGTACTGGTTAGTAAACTAAGGACAATTATGGATGTATAAGTGGAAATTTAAATCATGTATGGTTCTTTATCATGCAATACTTGGCATAACATAATTAAACTTATTGGAAAACAATGTGGAGCTTAGGAGATCTGACAGTGGCTTGACTTGTAGTAGGGATGGTACAGTGGTTGGTTGCTCCATCATGCAGATGATATTCTTGCAAAGGCAGCTAACATTCTGAAGAAATATCAAGAATAGAAGCAAACTTCTATTCTATTGGCAGCTAAAATTGGTGGTACCAGACGAGAGCACACCCTGCTGAATTGATAGCTTGATACTACAACAGTGCTCTTAGAGATGGTTATGATCATGTTGCTTCCATTTTGTCTCGTCATGGAGCTACTTTGCATGTTTCGTAAGATTCCAAGTTTTAAGGTTCTGACTGGAATTTTGTTCATTGTCTACCTGATAATTAGGGTTGCTTACACATTCACTTGATTTCAAATGTATCTAGTCTACCATGTTCACGTACTAAATATTTTCAGGAAAACCAATGAAAAGGGATTGAAAACTTTGAGTTTTAACGATAAGGACAAAATAAAGGGTAAAGTGAATAGTACCAGAATTGACTTTTTAGTGTAAAAATGTGGTTTTTTCTTAAAGTGAACAGTACCGGGAGCTTTTTGTTAAAATTCCCAATATTTTATTGCAGCAGCTTAGCAATGATGGATGGTGATAACCCAGCATCCTATCTTTGCAGTTCAGAAGGATTACTCCAACAGGTACGAGGCCTGTTAATTAATAACGCTTCCTTAGCTTATTGCTTTGTTGGTACTTTTTTTTAACTTACTTTAGAAATTTTATCTGTATAATTCAAGCTTTTAAGTTAGGTAGGACTAACCCATGCAGCTGTGCTTGTCACAGCAGGTCATGCAGGGCCTTTAGGTTCAACATGGGCTTGGAACAGGCCAATATGAGCTTTTTCAGTATTACAGATATTGGGTATTTTTTATCTGTTTTTTAGGCTTCTTTTAGTATCTTACAATTCATTCTGAAGTAAATCTTTAGTTTTAATTGGGTTGTCTTGCCCAGATATTAAAGAAGAAACATATGACAAGTTGATCAATAACCATTTTTCTGTTTTATTGAAGTTTGGAATACAATTGATAATTTGATATTACTAAACAACAAAAATAGAATTGCATCCGTATAATAGTGTCGTACTACTTTAGATTGGCATGGTCTGTCCATTTACACCGGTGGGTGGTGGTAGTGCCTAGTGGTGGCTTCTATTGTCTACAATTCTATCAGTCAATTGGTTTCTTCAATAAAATGTCTGCCTTATGCTTTGTTTATTGGGTATATATCATATTATACAATTCCAATGTAGTCTAACATGATTCGATTTGCACCAGATATGGAGTGTTTCAAAGAAAAGGGTACATTTGATCAGGAGAAATACCAATGAAGGATTTGACAGGGTAAGTTCTTCCTTAAGAACAAAAGCAAATTTCAGCTACCATTTATTTCTATTAGACATATATTGGATATTGCAAATGTCTTATAACTAGAAACACATGGCTTCTTCTTTTGCCCATTCTGTGTTGCGTGTTCACGCGTCTGCTTCTCTTGCACGTTGGTTTATGCAAATACATACTAACTATTACCATTCCCAGGCCGAAGCTGTAAGATCATTTACATATTTCAGAATGAATGATAAGATATTTAGGGCTGAAAATTGGAGTAATTTCGTTCCTTTTGTTAAAAAGATGAGCACAAATTGGTGATGCAGCCAAAAATCCCAACTTAAATAGTAAATTTATTGATCTAGAGTAGCAGCCTCATTGCCCTATAATTTTTTGTCAAGGGCATGTGTAGAAGTTTAGAAGTTTGTCACTTCCTGATATATTGACTGAAATAACTTTGTGTTTCCATGACAGGTGTTCTTGACCTGGAAGTGTAAATTTTTGAAACGGATTTGGTTGGCCATAGAAACTAAATGCTTTACCATCAAAATATGAGAAGAATAATTGGAATTGCAATCTTGGTACTGCTGGTCATATTGCCTAGTCAAATACAGGTACAACATTTCAATTTAAGGAATATCCACATACTGTCATATCTGTCACTATACGAAACTAATGTAGGCTTTGCAGATCGAAAACAACAATAAGAAAATGGATCCGACAATATAGAGAACAAAAAGAACTAAGAGTTCACACCTTCACAGTCCTTCAAATACCTAGTCTTGATTTTGGTGAGTGAGATTGCAGCATCTTTCATGTTAATTCTCTCTCTCGGCAATGCTGCAGTGCAAGCTAAAGCTAATCTCATAATGGATGATAAGCAATCCCTCTTGCTCACGAAATCACCATCTTCCTCTGTCCCGAGTATATCGGCATCCACAACTTCATCTATAGTAGCATCTGGAAATAATGAATCTGCAATCCATTGCTTTAAATTCATTTCCCCAACAAACATCTCATCTGTTGGCTTCCTTTTTGTGAATGTCTCTATGAGTACAATACCAAAACTATACACATCCCCACTCATCGAAATGCTTCCTTCGATCCCGAACTCTGCAAAATTTGTATGTTAATTTAGTTATATATGATAAAAAGGAAATTATAACTCCTAATAAGACCAACATATACAAAATTGAAAAAATACATCACCTGGAGCCATATATCCAACTGTGGCTAGAGTCATGGTTTCTGTCATCGAATCTCCACCGCTAACGAGTCTTGCAATGCCAAAATCAGCAACATGTGCAACCATATCATCATCTAGTAGTATATTGCTTGGTTTCACATCACAATGAACGATAGGTATCGAGTAACCATGATGAAGATATTCTAGTGCCAATGCAACATCTTTCATTATATCCAACCTCTGCAGGATATTCAAGGAGCGTTTTGGAGAATACAACCACTGTTCGAGGCTTCCATTAGGCATCAATTGAAGTACCAAGGCTTTGAAATCAAGTTCATCACAGCAACTTATGATTTTAATAAGATTCCGATGACGGATATTGCTTAGCATTTCACATTCCTTATCAAAACTCTTGAATGCCCCTTCTTGCTGTAAATTGAAAACCTTGACGGCGATATGTATCCCGTCTGAAAGTGTTCCTCCGTATACTGAGCTAAACCCCCCTGTGCCTAGTAAGTTACTCTCGTGAAGTCCATTTGTTGCCTTTACAAGTTCTAGGCGCGAAACTCTTCTCCAAAGAACTTGATGTAGCAAGGCAGTTTCTCTTACAACTTCAACATTCCTTTTCCTGCATAGTATCAGAATCAATGCAGCAACGGCTAGGAGTATTACTGACATGACCCCTGAGATGATACATATAGCTTTCCTCCAATTGGGCTTAACTGCTGTTTTATATTTGCACAATGGAACGTGGAATCGGGAAGCACCGCAAAGTGCACCGTTTGATACAAATGAATCAGCAGAGAAGTTTCTGAAAGTCCCGTCGGTTGGAATTTCTCCTTGGAGTTTGTTGAAAGACAAATTCAGATGCTTGAGATACAAGAGTGCTTCCAATGACTTTGGGATCACTCCAGATAGATTGTTTTTGGACATATCCAAGAATTCTAGGCTCAGCAAGGTTTTAAATGAACTGGGAATAGGGCCTTCTAAATAATTGTTTGCCAAGGACAGAGTAATCATATTTTGAAGATCACCAATGCTACTGGGAATGTTTCCAGAGAAATGGTTATTTGACAAGTCCATATTCAGCACATCTTTCAACTTTCCGATGTCTTCCGAGAGTGGTCCAACTAGATAATTAGATGACAAGTCTAGGTGCAATATATACTTGAGTTCCCACAAGGAAGATGGTACTTTAGAAGTTAACGAATTGGACCCTAAAAATAGACCTCTTAGAGCTCTTGCCAAAGTACCCAAGCAGGAAGGAAGAGAACCAGATAGACGATTACCACCCAAACTTAACTCGGCTAGGTTGCCTAGTTGACAGAGTTCATCCGGGATATGTCCTCGTAGTTCGTTATTATCCAAATACAAACCTTGGAGATTTTGTAGCCTTTGTATTGAAGTTGGAATTGCTCCCCTCAACTGATTGTTTCCCAGGTTTAATGATATCAAGCTGCTCAAGTTGCCAATATCAACGGGAATGTTACCCCTGATGTTGGAATTTCTTAAACCAAGATATAGGAGTGACGTAGAGAGATTCCTGTGAGAAGCTGGAATCATAGTGTTTAGTGGATTATCTTCTAAGGTTAATCTTGTCAAATTTCTAAGATTAAACAAGCAAGAGAGAGTGCTTGCTGCTTGTGGAGTAGAAGCATCAATTGTCAAATTATTCGAGTGCAAGTTAAGGTACTCGAGGTTTTTCAAGGAACAGAGCGTGCTAGGAAGAAACCCGGTAAATGAGTTTTGGCTCATGTCTAGCTTCTTGAGCTTGGAAGCATTGGAGAGGTTAGGGAGTAGTCCAGCCACGAGGTTATTTCTGGCTACATAAAGGAATTCTAGGTTTGGAACGTTAAGACCAATGTTTGCTGGGAGGCTACCTGAGAGCTGATTAAAAGAAAACGATATTATTCTTATCATGGAGAGATTGAAGAGTTTGGATGGGATGACGCCGCTGAGATTATTAATACCCAGTGACAACACCTCTAACTGTAGAAGATCACTAATCTCATCCGGTATTGTACCTGTCACAATTGCAGCACGTTTGCATTAAATTTTTAACTTCAGTTTAACTAAAAACTAAAAGCGAAATGATTATCAAACAGTCCTAAATTTACTACCTGTTAAATTATTGTTATCAAGATAAATCTTGGTTAAGTAGGTCAAATTGCCAAGACTTTTGGGTATGCTTCCACGGAAATTGTTATCTTCTAAATTCAATTCACGAAGCTCTTTGCATTGCCACAGTTTGGAGGGAATAAGACCGTGAAATTGGTTTCGACCCAAATTAAATATTCGAATACTCGGAAGACGCTCACATATATTGTCCGGAAGATTGCCACTCATGTTGTTTCCATATAGAGCCAAAGTAGTCAAAGAAGATATGTTGAGGACAGGCACAAGAGCAGAGCCTTTTAGGGCATTGAACTGCACATACAACTCCTCCAGCTGGCCTAAACTGCTCATCTCGTTTGGAAGTTCTATGAATCAATCAGTATATATTGTTAAAATCATGTAAACATATATAGGAGTTGCTTCTTACTGGGAGTCCCATTCTATCGTAGCAAAAGAGGGATAACATTATAAGGACCAAGTGCTCACTATATAGGTTCTCTTTTTGCTCTAGCATAAGAGGGTCTTAGGGCTGGTTTGGTATTGCTGTGCTTTGAAAAAAAAGCTACTTCTGCTGTGCTGCGAGAATAAGCAGCTGTGAAATAAAGCAGCAGAGTGTTTGGTAAACTTTTTTTAAAAGTGCTTTTGAAAAAAAAAAAAAGCAGTATTATAGTGTTTGGTAAACTTTTATGTAAAACAGATGTGAAAAAAAACCAGTTTTTCAAAGCTGGGTTTTGCAGCTTCTTGTTTTTGGCTTTTTTCATCCAAAACTGTGAAAAAAAAGCTAAAGCTGAATGTTTACCAAACACAAAAACAACTCCCAGCTTTTTTTGATACCAGCTTTTTTCAGAATCACCTCAGTACCAAACCAAGCCTTACACAATACATATATGATTCCTATGATAGTTATAGTTCTCTTATTGTATTTTTATTAAAGTGGAACGAGATTCCTGGTAAGAAGGTGCTCGTATCTAAACTACCTGGTACCAATTAATAGAACTTTGCTCTCAACCAAAACTACATGAAATTACAATTTTAAACCCCACACCAAAATTGCACAAAAATAAAAAATTATGGGTAATTTAGTAATTACATGAACATAAATTTTGTTGTTATTTAGGACAACCTCACAGCCAGGTCACCATAGAATGCCATATTTAAAAATAAAAAATAAAATAAAATAGTAAATAAAAAACATGCCTACCTTAGAAGAAACTACTCATCATTTTCCTAATTTTTATAAGGGGTGTGCCATTCATGCATCCAATTTTACTTCTCATACACCCCTTGTTCATTTATGTCCATTGATTTTCTTCATTTCATCCGATCTGACGGTCGAAAATTAGAAGGGTGTGTGAAAAGTAAATAAGGGTGTGTGGATATCACACCCTTTTTTATAATTGATTTATTTTTTAGGAAAACTAATGAAAAATGTTTGAAAACTTTGAGTTTTCACGATAAGGATAAAATAAAAAGTAAATTGAATAGTACCATGATTGACTTTTTAGTGTAAAAATGTGGTTTTTCGTTAAAGTGAACAGTATCGTGAGCTTTTCGTTAAAACTCCCTTATTTTTTTAGAATTTAAAAAACTAATCACACTTCATAGTAAAAAAAAAAACAAATGAAATGAAATTATTCACAGTGTGTGTGGGCATCTATGAGTATACATGTGACAAAACCTAAGTCATACAGCATACCTTCGAACTTGTTGTCCTTAAGGCTTATGACCTTCACCATTGTTATGTTGCCTATTTCTCTGGGTATGCTACCTGTTAAATATGTGCATGCATTCCAACAAAAAAGAAGGAAAAAAAAATGAGATGATTGTTATACATCTTATGTATAGATGTTAAAATGAAACAAAGATGTTACCTGTTAAATTATTGTTATCAAGATAAATCTCGGTTAAGTAGGTCAAATTGCAAAGACTTTTGGGTATGCTTCCACGGAAATTGTTATACCCTAATGTCAGTTCACGAAGCTCTTTGCATTGCCACAGTTTGGAGGGAATAAGACCGTCAAACTGGTTTCGACCCAAATTAAATATTCGAATACCCGGAAGGCGCTCACATATATTGTCCGGAAGATTGCCACTCATGTTGTTTCCATATAGAGCCAAAGTAGTCAAAGAAGATATGTTGAGGACAGGCACAAGAGCAGAGCCTTTTAGGGCATTGAACTGCACATACAACTCCTCCAGCTGGCCTAAACTGCTCATCTCGTTTGGAAGTTCTATAAATCAATCAATATATATTGTTAAAATCATGTAAACATATATACGAGTTGCTTCTTACTGGGAGTCCCATTCTACCGTAGCAAAAGAGGGATAACATTATAAGGACCAAGCGCTCACTATATAGGTTCTCTTTTTGCTCCAGCATAAGAGGGGTCTTACACAATAAATATATGATTCCTATCATAGTTATAGTTCTCTTATTGTATTTTTATTAAAGTGGAACGAGATTCCTGCTAAGAAGGGGCTTGTATCTAAACTACTTAGTACCTATTAATAGAACTTTGCTCTCAACCAAAACTACATGAAATTACAATTTTAAACCCCACACCAAAATTGCACAAAAATAAAAAACTATGGGTAATTTAGTAATTACATGAACATAAATTTTGTTGTTATTTTGGGCAACCTCACAGCCAGGTCACCATAGCATGCCATATTTAAAAATAAAAAATAAAATAAAATAGTAAATAAAAAACATGCCTACTTTAGAAGAAATTGGTCATCATTTTCCTAATTTTTATAAGGGGTGTGCTATTCACGCACCCATTTTTATTTCTCACACACCCCCTTGTTCATTTATGTCCATTGATCTTCTTCATTTCATCCGATCCGACGGCCGAAAATTAGAAGGGTGTGTGAAAAGTAAAAAAAGGTGTGTGGATATCACATCCCTTTTTATAATTGATTTATTTTTTAAGAAAACTAATGAAAAATGTTTGAAAACTTTGAGTTTTAACGATAAGGATAAAATAAAAAGTAAATTGAATAGTACCATGATTGACTTTTTAGTGTAAAAATGTGGTTTTTCGTTAAAGTGAACAGTATCGTGAGTTTTTCGTTAAAACTCCCTTATTTTTTTAGAATTTAAAAAACTAATCACACTTCATAGTAAAAACAAAAACAAATGAAATGAAATTATTCACAGTGTGTGTGGGCATCTATGAGTATACATGTGACAAAACCTAAGTCATACAACATACCTTCGAACTTGTTGTCTCTAAGGCTTATGACCTTCACCATTGTTAAGTTGCCTATTTCTCTGGGTATGCTACCTGTTAAATATGTGCATGCATTCCAACAAAAAAGAAGGAAAAAAAAATGAGATGATTGTTATACATCTTATGTATAGATGTTAAAATGAAACAAAGATGTTACCTGTTAAATTATTGTTATCAAGATAAATCTCGGTTAAGTAGGTCAAATTGCAAAGACTTTTGGGTATGCTTCCACGGAAATTGTTATACCCTAATGTCAGTTCACGAAGCTCTTTGCATTGCCACAGTTTGGAGGGAATAAGACCGTCAAACTGGTTTCGACCCAAATTAAATATTCGAATACTCAGAAGATGCTCACATATATTGTCCGGAAGATTGCCACTCATGTTGTTTCCAAATAGAGCCAAAGTAGTCAAAGAAGATATGTTGAGGACAGGCACAAAAGCAGAGCCTTTTAGGGCATTGTCTTGCACAAACAACTCCTCCAGCTGACCTAAACTGCCTATCTCGTTCGGAAGTTCTATAAAATAAATCCGTATATATATTAAAATCATGTATAGACATAGGAGCAGCTTATTAGTAGAAATCCCGTTGTACTGTAGCAAAAGGGGGATAACATTATAAGGACCATGTACTCACTATATAAGGCCTCTTTTTTGCTCCCGAATACGAGGGTCTTACACAGTAAATATATGATCCTACGATAGTTCTCTCATGTCATTTTTTGCTAAAGTGGAACGAGATCCCTGCTATAGATGTAATAAAACCTAAGTCATACAGTATACCTTCAAACTTGTTGTCGTCAAGGTATATGCCCTTCACCATTGTTAAGTTGCCGATTTCTCTGGGTATGTTACCTGTTAAATATGTGCATGCATTCCAACAAAAAAGAAGGAGAAAAAAACAAACGAGATGATTGTTATACATCTTATATATAGATGTTAAAATGAAACAAAGATGTTAAAATGTAATCATGAAGCAAGCAACATTAATTTATATTCCTAGGTGGTTGGTAATGGTGGTACGTACGTACCTGATAGTTGGTTCCTGCTCAGATTAATTATTTCGAGTCCAGATAAGTTGAAGATAGCAGCGGGTATGAAACCAGAGAAGCCATTACCGTACAATTTGATGGTTTGAAGTTTAGGAAAGGACCCAAACCACGAAGGAATGGTTCCCATAAAGCTGTTGTTTCCAAAGTTAATCGCCTTCAACCGGTGCAAACGAGATAGTTCTTGCGGTAGGGGACCATGAAAGCTATTATTCTTAAGGCCCAACTCAACGAGAAATGATAGGTTGCCTAGATGCGGAGGAATAACTCCGGCAAGACCCATGTGCGAGAGATTTAACGCCGTGACTCTGTGGTGGCCAGCACCACAGCTAACGCCAACCCAGTTGCAAATGTCGAAATTGGAGGCAGACGACCAGTTGGCGGTCAAGATGTTTTGAGGATCACTAGTGATGTGAGCCTTGAGAGTAAGAAGCGCAGACTGATCTGTGCTGAAATTGGTATGAGATATTGCTGATGCACCTGTAGTTAAGTAATTAGCCATAATCATCATATTGATATAACACAAGCAGTGTATCATTGACAACATTTTTGACAGTAGGAAACGACTTCTCTCCTTAATTGTAGTAGTTTTCGTCTTTCGGTTTAAATTTGATCGAAAACTAGAACTCATTACATTCACATAAATAGGGAAGCAAGTAGGTGTTACCAAGACTTGTGAACGACTTAGACTTGCCCGGCTTCTACGTCAAGGTGGGAGACTTAGACTAGTCGAACGAAGACGTGTGATTTGGATTTTTGAACATATCAAACACGCACCATTCATTTTTTGCGCAATCAGTGATAAGGATGTTTTGGTCTGTCGGGGTGATATTTGGTAATTGGTGCCAATGTGGAATTTTAGGCTAGCCGACGAGTTCTGTCCGTTTTGTGGCCACAGCTGGAGATGCCCAAATGTGGAATTTTAGGCTTCAGTTCACCCTCAAAACAAACACCATAAATTTCAAGATTGATATTTAATGATGACATACATTTTGATTCAAATGCAAATGCAAATGCGACCAAACACATAACAGTTACATTCTTCCAGATGAAACGTTTTCAATGACGTTTACATATAATCAAGTTCTAGTTGAACACTCTCCGGATTCGAAAATCATCTAAACTTGGCTAATTAGTTTTTCTGAACAGAACAAAGCAAAGATGATACGCAAATTGTCCAAGAATTACGGTCTTATGCTTCTAAATTATTAATCACGATCGCATGTACACATTCATTGCAGCAATAACGAAGAAGGGAAGTAACAACCAGAGGTTGAAAACTAGTTCAGATACGTACATACACTATCATGCAGACTTGCCATTGGAGATGCTCTGAATATGCAAAGGCTTCTTATATGACTGCAGAAAGGGAGAACACACCACGCTTAGAGATGAAGCAGGCATGCACCTGCAAGCCATGGTGGTAATCAAATTCCAGTTAAAGGGAACAAAACTCCAGCCGCCACCGGCATGCTGAGGATATTGTAGCCCAGGGCCCAGACATAATTCAATCAAATTCGAGACATGGTCTTTCTAGAGAGATCAATGGCTGTAACTACATCTTCCAAGTTGCTCTTCATCAGAACTATAAGCAGCTTCTATAGCTACGTCGGTGCCAGCACCAATTGCCATGCCAACATCTCCTGCAACCATAGCCGGAGAGTCATTAATTCCATCTCCCATCATTGCCACTGCCATTCCTTTCATCTGCATCCAAATCCACTTTAACAAGTCAGAAAACACTATTTTAGATAGATAACTCACATATCAAGTCAGAAACAAACTTAACATAGAAAAATGAGTTTGAAGATTTCTATAAGACATTATTTTACCCTAGATAAGTCATTTGAAATATAATTTAGTAATCCTCAATCTGCGTTCAAAACCAGAACAAAATTACTTGTGGAGCTGGGTAATTGTAATCCACTCACACCACCCCTGTAACTATTATATAATCGTAACTGTAATTCTTTGATTCTATCAGCTTTTCCTAGTGGATCCATCTCAGCAGACACCTTATCAATGCCAACCTCCATCGCACTGGCTGCCGCTGTAGCCCAGTTATCACCAGTAACCACGATGCTTGTAATGTTTATCAAGTGAAGATAAGAGATGACTCGTGCAGCCTCTGACTTCACCGGATCAGTTACAGCAAAAGACCCAGCAATCTTTCCATCAATGGAAACCAACACACACGTTCGAGCCAGATTATCATGTTCTGAAACATACTTGTCAACCTCAGGACCAACCTGAACATTATTTTCCCGCATGAGCCTCACCAATCACCATTTACCTACATATTTCTCAAATAGAAGCATGTTAGCATGATTGACAAAAAAAATTTACAATAGCATAGTCACAATGAGTTGTCTCATCTGTAACTTAACTGTACAAACACAAATTTTTTAATGCAAGCACGCAAAATAAACGTTTCATGTACAAATTTGAATCATAAGCACCAACCTCTGTGACAATAGACACAGCACAGAACTCCATTGAGTAATTGGAGAAGAGCACCGCATTGACTACTACGGGTTTCCCAACTGCCAGAGTCCCTGTTTCATAAAAAACAACCGTTTTCGCTGGCATGGATCAAACACGTCCGTTAACGTCCAGACACCAACAAAGTGTCAAATACTAAGAAACGTATCAACCTTCATGAACTAGGTACCGTTTGTTCAGGTTTTAATTTTGGAAAGAACATAAACCCTAAAAAGGACGAAACAATTATTAGCCTTGTTATAAAAAAAAAGGAGTTGGGGTACAAGAAATGGGGAGTTAAAACTTGGCGAGTACGGCTTGGTGACATGGACAAGGTGCATACAGCCATCAATCGTCCAGAACCAAAGGGTCATATGAGACAGATTCCAACTATACAATAATAGTTGCACGTTCAATCCCAATATATGCAGGAAGTACATCCTCCATACCCAATGACATAGATTGCATTTAGTTTTATGTCAAGAGCCTAAACGTTGATTGAACCAAGGCAGAGCGTTTTACTGGTCAGGAATGAAGTACATAACTTGTAATCATACGGAACATTAACATAATGTATGGTGGTAGCATAGGGGATAATATGAAATGACCAGAGCAATATGAGGAGAGCAACTTCATAATGGAGGAAAGACAAGAAAAAAAACTACACTTGCACCCTCAAGACATATAGAGAATGTATCTAATCAGAAATTGTTTTTTCCTAAACCACAACAAACAGGTTTTCGACGTCCTCGGAAGGAAAAGTAGGAACAAGTATAATGAAGCAACTAAACACACCAGCAAAAACAACATGAAAATAAAACGCATGGAAACCAGATTCTAAATTAAAAAAGAAATTTGTTTCCAAGGATAAGGTGGTCTTACCTTATAAGCCTTTTCGAGTACACTAGCAAAAATGCCCGCGCTCCGCTGCGGGGACTTCTAGAAGTATGATCTTGTACCATCTGATTTCTTTTGCTATTCCTAGTTCTTTTTGGCATCATGTGCAAAACCAAATTGATAGCTAGGAACAAAAAATGAGAACACCTGCATAAATTAAATTTTCCATCACCCTATATTATAATTAAATAAAACAAAACACAATAATCATCTCACAATTACAGAAGCAAGGACTTTCAAATGCCCCAATTATTTAACAACTACTATGCGTAATTCTTAAAAAATGAGTATAAAATTAACCTCTTTTGAAAAACGAAGGAAAAGATGAAAGCTTAAGTCAGGGAATATAACTATGTTGAACTCAATTATTTGACATTAATTACACAAACTCAATTCCATACATATAGCCAGACAGAAGCTTTATCCTAGAGAGAAACCATGCCCAAATGATTATATAATCTCCAGACTGAGTGCGAATTCAGAGCATGAAAGGGAAGTGAGTTCCTTGGTTCCCACATTGTAGAGACTAAATCTCAAAACTTTGCCAAGCATTACAGGAAACCATGGAAAGAATAAAAATGACAACAAAGATTGCAAAACAATTAACCACAGGTGGTGTTTATATTCCCACTGAGAGAAAAAAGCTTCTGCAAGTGAAAAAACAGGCATGTACCATCTGAAAGAGCCTCTTGTATCCATTCCAATTATCCTTATGTCTACCATATCCCTCTACAATTCCCCACCACCAATCAACAATAACTGATTTCAATACCCTTAGCTGCTTTAGTAGACCATCTAGTGACACCTAACTGCCACCAAAATAAAAGACATGATCAAGACCATACAGATTACAGACTAAGCTTAAACAACTGTTATCTATTAAGCAAAACTTGAACTCCTTGACATGGCAACCTCTTAATCCAGGACGTAGAGTAGAAAAGCAAAATTAGTAAAGTTACAGAACTCAATGCATTACATATACCAGTAAAAAAGCGAAACATCAGTGTTTGGGAAGTTACCTTGTTTGAAATGTCAGGAGCATCTGGTGTACATACAGGGTAGACAGTTCTTGAAAAATTCAGGGCTTCAAAATAAAATAAAAAATAAATTCAAAAGAAATCAAAACTATTAATCCTAACAACTGTTTTGTAAAGGATAAAACAATCTTTCCATCAAACAAACTTGAGAAACAAAAAGAGGGAAATAAATTTAAGTTGAATAGAGGTGTTGCCTACCCAGAAATCCAAACGAAATCCCCAAAAATTCACGCCCCCAAAACCATACAAATCACCAGAGTTGAAAACCAGCGCTACACTGGGATCATCCACACAGTGACGAACTCTGATCATTGTCACTGATCTCCATCGCCTTCCAAAGCCAAAACCCTTTTAAGAAAAAGAGGTTAATGAATATGATAAAGCCAGTAATGAATGGAATAACCCAATTTCTATTGCCAATCACCCTTGCTGAGTGATGATTCGCATACTTCCTCGTATTTGTTTATGGGTTCCTATCCAACAAAATTTCGACTTAGTACCCAAAAACTGTATCAGCTCACGAACACAGAGAGGTTTTACATAGCCCGTTTTAAAATTTTAGGATAATTTACAAGTTTGCCATAGAATTGGGTTTGTTCACTCGACCCAAATTCTTGGGCTGTGTTAAGCTTCACTGTCGAAAGCAGTGTCGAACAGCTTCACTAGCCATTGCTAGTGTCGGTGTGAGATGTTATAGAGTTTTTTTCCCGGCATAACTCGGAGTCATACAACTTCACCTTCAGGTGATGGGGCCTACCATGCTTCTTCACTGGTGTAACCCAGTGTCGTACAACTTCATCTTCGGGTGATGGACAGGTATTGTCTTCGGATGACCATGATACCCTAAAGAGTATAATTTTATTGAGAGTTATGGATTTGCCTTTGGGCAGAGGTTTTACAGATTTGCCTTCGGGCGGTTTTACTACCATCTTCGAATATCATTTTACGCATATATGTTTTCCTAAAGAATGCACAACATGCTAGGGTTTTTCGGAAACCTACTACGTAGTATTATATATGTTTTCAAAACAAGGGGTTATTATGTTCACATTAAAATGGTTTTTGGTATTACTAGTATTAATATAAATTATGGTCCACTCACCTTTTCTGTTTTTTCTGTTTTGTGCCCCCTCAGGGTTTAGATTCGAGGCACAAGATCCCGGCATTAGGATACTTCGGCGTAGTTATTCTCGAGTCTCAGTATACGTATCATTTTTGGGTTGGCATAGTTTCCTAGTAATTTTC